GGGTGCATACAAGGTTTTCCAAGGCCCAGCCTCCACTGCGTTTTCATTTGTAGCAATATTGGACTGCCTGTAGGTCCCCAAACTCACTAGCCTTTGCATGTGTGCTCCCAGCACAAAGCTGCTTCCCACATCCCCTCAGCTCCATACAACTCCTCCTCGTTACTCATAAAGGAAAATCTATTTACAGATTTTGCTTGCTCAGATGCAACAGCCCCTAGGATGGCCTTCTGACTTCAACTACCTCCTCCTTATCCCTGTCTTAGTCTGCTCCAGCTGCCATAGCAAATACCACAGACTCAATCGCTTAAACATCAGATATTTATCTTCTCACAGTTCTGGAGGTCAGAAGTCTAAGAGCAGGTTCCTGGTAATGGCTCTCTTTCTGGGTTGTAAATGGCAAGTCCTCACCATGTCCTCAGGCAACCTTTCCTCAGGGCCTGCCCACACAGACGGAGATCTCTGGTGTATCTTTTTCTTCTTTTCTTTTTTAAACTGGTAACCAATTTATTAAAATACTTGACTTAAGAATCTGCAATGGTGGCTTCAACCTCAAGCTCTCGCTCAATACTGCTGGAAGTCATCCACTCAACAATCTCAGAAGGGCTGTGCGAGTCAACGGGTGGCTTGTGGATTCTCATCTGGAAATGATCCCATGTCTTAGATGTTTTCTCCTTCACCTCAAGGAGTTTTCTTGTAGTACTTCTCAAAGTCTTGGTAGGCATTCTAACTGGTCCTTTCACTTCAGGATTCTTTTCCTTTGCTCCTCTGATCAAGTCAGCACACATTTCTCTGGAGATTTTATGTGGCGGCTCATTAGTGTGATTCGAATTCAGCAAATCACCACCTCCAGCTCCATGGTTGTTTTTCTGGGATCTTTAAAAGCCATGGCCGTGGCACAGTTTCTTGACCGACTTGTTCATTGGCGAGAGTGAACAGTGGTGCAACAGGAACAAAAAGCTATTATTTTTTTCCCATAGGTTATTAGGGAACAGGTGGTAGTAAGTTACATACGTTCTTCAGTGGTGATTTGCGAGATTATGATGCACCCATCACCCAAGCGGTATACACTGCACTCAGTTTGTAGTCTTATCCCTCACCCCCTTCCCACCCTTTCCCCTTGAGTCCCCAAGGTCCATTGTGTCATTCTTACGCTTCTGCATCCTCATAGGTCAGCTCCCACTTATGAGTGAGAACATATGATGTTTGGTTTTCTACTCCTGAGTTACTTCACTTTTAGTCTATAATCTCACCCAGGTCACAGCGAATGCCACTAATTCATTCCTTTTTGTGGCTGAGTAATATTCTTTCTCTTCTTAGAAGGTCACCAATTCTATCAGAGTAGGACCCCACCCTTATGACCCATTAAACCTTAACCTCCTAAAAGCCCTACATTCAAACACAGGAAATCACAGCTTCAACACAGGAATTCTAAAGAACACAATTTGGTCCATAGCAACCCATACCCCAAATTCCCTCATAGAACAAAACACACTACCTGCATACAGAAGAAAAATGACTGTCCTTGAGTACTCTACAAATTAGTTTGTTTAGTGTTTTATTATAAAAGTTATTATTTGCAATCTATCTTACTATAATTGCACTATGTTCCATTATTATTTTTTGATAAGTAGAAATGCAATATGTTTGCACGTATGTGTTTTAATTAGTACCTTATGAAACTAGTAATAGCTGGCTATTTTTACCTAAATATGTCCATTTTGTAGAGTTAAATCTATGTATGTGTGTAGTTTATCTTTATACATTGATCAACCAGATAAACTTGTAAGTTAACTTTTATTTGCTATGTGCATTATTCGTTCCACAAAATTCTAACAAAAAAGGTTAAAAACAACCCACATGATTATGTAAACATCAAACTATACTTTATGAAACTACAGAAGTTTCACTGTTGCCATCAATCTGTGAGTCACAGCAGGAAAGTGAATTAATGGGCTGATAAGGGTCCATTTCACCTGCTTTTGAAGGAACCACACCTCTCCTCTTTCATGAATTATTAAAATCGAGAGTCAAAAGTTGCCATTCTGGAAATGGATGGATGCTGTTAGCTGTCATGTGACAAGTGAGGTTTTATTTATTTTTAACTCACAGTTCCCTCTCACATACATACTGAGAGACAGAAGAAAATGCTGGGAATCATTAAACACAACTGGTTTTATGGTGTCTAACTACATCTTCAATGTTTACTAAGACTAAAATTTAATCTTTAATCTCAATTATATTACACATCATGAATAATGTGGACCTGTATTCCAGCTCATTTCTTATGAAGTCAGTCTACAAAATAATCAGATTAATTTATAGAAATTACCCAGGAAAAATGGTCTGATGACTATGGTTACAGCTCACTTGCTTAACTTATTCAGTGTTAAGCTTAATTTCCACAAGAAGTTGGAGCTACTAAGAGTTGTTTGTTAAGAAGCTGTGAAAAGAGCATACTTAGGTGTTTCCACACCAAACCAGACTGTGAGCTCCAGAAATGGGCATGAGAGGCCTTACAAGACTCTCCTCCTTTATGGCCATTTCCTAAAGCAAATATCGAAAGCCTGCATTACCCATGAGTTGAACCATCCTATGCCTACAAAATGGCCACTCAGAAGGATTACATAAAAGTTGCCATTCCTTTCTAATAGAAATGAGTTTGTGCACTGAAAGTCAGCAATTCATCCCCATTATATCCCAGAGGACTAATTTCTGCAGCTAGAGAACTGGAAAACCTCAGCATTTTTCAGGGAGTCCAGAAATGCTATCCTATAGCTCTCCCTGCACCATCCTATCCTCCTCCTTGCCCACAGCCACTGATGAGTCAGTGATAAGACTCTGTCTTCACCTCAACTTGGATTTCATTTTTACTTTCCACTCCCTTAGACTTGATGTTCTAGAACATTCCTTGCTTTTCTTTTTCTTTTTTTTTTTTTTTTTTTTTTTTTTTTTTTTTTGAGAAGGAGTCTCACTTTGTCTCCCAGGCTGGAGTGCAGTGGCACAATCTCGGCTCACTGCAAGCTCCGCCTCCCAGGTTCACGCCATTCTCCTGCCTCAGCCTCCCGAGCAGCTGGGACTACAGGCACCCGCCACCACGCCCGGCTAATTTTTTGTATTTCTAGTAGAGACGGGGTTTCACCGTGTTAGCCAGGATGGTCTCGATCTCCTGACCTCGTGATCCGCCCGCCTCGGCTTCCCAAAGTGCTGGGATTACAGGCGCGAGCCACCGCACCTGGCCCATTCCTTGCTTTTCAGACTACCTTCAGCTTGATCCAAGATTCAAACACCAGTTTCCCTGGTGTTTTTTAGAGACAGGGTCTCTCTATGTTGCCCAGGCTGGACTTGAACCCTAGGCCCAAGCAATCATTCCACCTAAGCTTCCCAAGTAGCTGGGACTACTGGTGACTCCATGCATTCTGAAGAAGAAACTAGCATCCTCCCCACACAGCCCATTTTCAGTCCTATTACAGTTCTACCTTTTTTATAAATGATAAACTGATAACGGCTTCAAGAAACAAGTAAACTTTGAAAGATTGCAAAGGAACCCTTTCCCTTCACCCTCCTCCATTTCCCCTCCATATATTCACCTTATTTTCCAGAGCCTGCTCTCCTCAACTACCTCACTCCAATATACCACATGTTGACTTCTGAAGAAAGCCAATGTGTGGAAGCCAATGTGTGGTAAATTGCTCATTGCTAATTAAAGTGTATTTAATTTTGCAGAGTAACAATTATAAGCAGTATTTCACACATTCTTAGCAGTCAGAGAAGCCTTCCTGCAAATGACCACCACTCTTCTCTCTGCCTCTTTTTCCCCTCCTCTCCCACCCACGCACACATCCCTTTCTGTTTATAGAATTCATAAAAGCATATAGCAAGCTGAATCTAAAAAGTCCCTGGTCCCTGCTAAAGAAGTGTGTTATAAAGAGTGGAAGAAACAGCCAAAGAAGCTATTACCAGTGAAAAGGGAGACCTCAAACCTTAATATTGTTTCCCATTTCTTTGCTCAACCCGTTGGAAGAGATTTTATGGGTTTTGTTTTTCCAGTACGGTTGGCTCTTGCAGAACATAGATATTAACTATGCAGGTTCATTTATACACAGACTCTTTTTTAGTAAAAGTTATACCGAGTGTGCCTCCTCTCCTGACTCCCCTTACACCTCCTCCATTTCTGCTGCCTCTGCCATTCTTGAGACAGCAAGGTCAACCCCTCCACTTCCTCCTCATCAGCCTACTCGACATAAACATGATGAAGATGAAGACCTTTATGATGATCCACTTCCACTCAATGAATAGTAAATGTATTTCATCCACCTTTTCCTTAATAACATTTTTTCTGTAGCTTACTTTATTGTGAGAATGCGGTATATAATATATGTGTGTGTGTGTGTATATGTGTGTATATATATATATACACACATATATATAAAACATACAAAATATGTGCTAATTGACTGTCTGTGTTATCAGCAAGGCTTCCAGCCAACAGTAGGCTATTGGTTACGTTTTTGAAGAGCAGGCTATTGGTTAAGTTATACATGGATTTTCAACTGCATGGCGGGGGTCAGCATCCCTAACCACCACATTGTTCAAGGATCAACTATAATTTCTTTGCTGTGCCCAAATTTGAGAGGTACTTAAAACTGCTGATAGAATTTTTCCTGTGTAAAAATAGGTGGCATTTGTCTGAGAAAACCCAAACCTGGGAAAGCACAGATTCAATCTGAATTCCAAAAGGGTGTGCTTTCCCATCTGTACACTGAAAGATTTCCCTGTAATTTCATTTGCTGGTGCCTGCACATTTTTCAAAGTAAACTTGAGGAAGGAAGAGAACACTTGTCCTTGAGAAGTTTATAGCAACAGAAGCACCAGAATAGAAACTTTAGATAACTTAGAAAAATTAAACACCTCTAAACAGCACCCCAAAAAGGTTAACCATCTTTAAGAGTTAAAGTTTTTAAGAACAAAGGCCAGAGGTACATGAACCTTCCCTGACTCACCTGGGCTTTGGCAGGAAATAAGCAAAGTGCTGATGCCTGACGTAGCCATGACCTGGGGAAGGTATTGTTTCACATGATCCTGTTCCTGAGTGCTTAGGCAAGGCTCGACCAGCCTGAGTCTCACTCTGGTTCCCACCACACCTTGTTTATTATGTCACAAAACTTTCATGAAGTTAAGCCAGGCATAACGGGGCTCATCTGACTACAGCTATAAGCCTCCAGAAGAGCGCTGGCACTAAGACAGACATTTGTCGAAGGGCGACTACCTCTCTCCTTGCCATTCAATTATGTCCTGTTTATTATGAATTTTATTTGATTCCTCCATCAGAATTTCCTTTCCAATTATGGATAGTGAAAAGATATCTTATCAAACATCAGATCCAGGGCATTCGGACTTTCATGTGTCCAGAAGACAAACCCCTCCTGTTGCCTTTAAAATACCTCTTGGCCAGGCATGGTGGCTCACACCTGTAATCCCAGAGCTTTGGGAGGCAAAGGTGGGCAGATCACCTGAGGTCAGGAGTACAAGACCAGCCTGGCCAACTTGGTGAAACCCCATCTCTACTAAAAATACAAAAATTAGTCAGGCATGGTGGCAGGTGCCTGTAATCCCAGCTACTCGGGAGGCTGAGGCAGGGAGAATCACTTGAACCCTGGAGGTGGAGGGTGCAGTGAGCCGAGATCACGCCATTACACTCCAGCCTGGGCAAGAAGAGTAAGACTCCATCTAAAATAAATAAATAAATAAAATACCTCTCAAATATCTCACCTTTGCCTATTTTTATTGTTTCAGGAGCTATGTATATAGTAATGCCACTCTCCAAAGACATCTTCAAAGATGTAGCATCATTAATTCAATGTGTTTTTTCAAAAAAAAAAAAAACTTTCGAGTCAACATAACTTTTTCCCTGACCACTTTGTTCCTTGATGTTCTTACCTCTACCTGGTGTCAAACCTGTCTGTGAGCACAGTTAGATAGGGCTTCTCACTGTTCTCTGGGCGCATAAAATCCGTCTCCCTCCCTGTCTTCTCTCCCTCTCCCTATGCCTTTCTCGGGTTCTCCCTTTTCCTGCCTACCTCATCTCTACCCTTCCTCCTTCCAGAAGCTCTCAAATATAAATTGAGAAAGAAGAAAACTTCCCAAACAAAACTATACAAGCAAATCCATCCGGCATAGTATCTGTCACTCTGTATGAAAATCATTAGGTAAGTGTGACCTGAGAGAATTAAAGAAAATAAATAGTAGCAACTAGAAACCAATGCACCTGGTATAGCTAATAAATAAAGAAAATATGAGATTTTTAGTGGAAGGAGTTAAATAAGACCACTGAAAGTTGATGTGATAGGAACCACATCAGGACTACCCACCTTTAAAATAAACTAATCCTGCACTTTTGGAAATCAAAACTACAGCTGGCAGTATCCAGTTCACATCACTGTGCTGAGTGCCTACCGAAATGAGGTTTTGTGTTCCCATGTATATCGCAGCACCACGCACAACAGCAAAGATATGGAACTACCCTAAGTGTCCAGCAACAGATGAATGGATAAAGAAATGGTGGTATATGTACAAAGTGGAATACTAGGCCATTAAGAAGAATAAAATCCTGTCATTTGCAGTAACATGGATGGAACTGGAAGTCATTATGTTAAGTGAAATAACCCAGGCACAGAAAGACAAATATTGCATGTTCTCACTCATAGGTGGGAGCTAAGAAAAGGTGAGCACATGGAGGTAGAGAGTGGAATGATAGATACCAGAAACTGGGAAGGGTGTGTGGGTGGGAGGCAGGGGCATGAAGAGGGGTAGGTTAATGGGTACAAACATAGAGTTAGATGGAAGGAACAAGTGCTAGTGTTCCATAGCAGAGTAGGGTGACTATAGTTAACAATAGTATATTGCATATTTCAAAACAACTAGAAGGGAGAACTTAAAATGTTCCCAACACACAGAAATGAGAAATACTTGGGTGATGAATACACTAAAAACCCCGACTTGATCATTTCACATTTATGCATGTCATAAAATTGCACATGCACCCCCTAAATATGTACAAATATAATATATTGATAAAATAAAATGACTGCTATGTTACACACTGGGGTTGGAGGGCTAAATCAGAAGTGACCTCTGCCCCAAGGAGTGAATCAGACTAAGGATTCCCCTACAAGTTGGTCAGTGTGATGACAGGTGTGTAGGAAGAACAGAGGACTAGACTTCAATGTCCTGGGGACAGGGATGGGATCTGGCATATGTAAGAGGAAACAGCCAACCTCAGGTGTAAGCAGAGTAGAAGACAAGAAAGAAATAAACAGCAGAAGGTTTGCCGAGATATCACGGGGGGAGTATGTGAATAGAACAAAGGCCGGGGGAAGGTGTGGAAGGAAGAGTCTGGCCATGCAAGAAGCACGGAGCAGGTGAACTTTCACCTGCAGACTGTTCTAGAAAGCAGCACATCTGATGCATTCTTCACTCTCCTTGGTGATAACTTCCTCTATCCGAATGTAGAGGAGACTATGAGAAATGCTACCTAGGATGAAGTTCTGATTAACCAAGAAAAACCATCTCTGGGAGAGTAGAAGTAGCAGGAATACAGAAGAAAGCTTCTGCATCACCTTGGAGTTTCACAGCCAGACAGGAGAGTGAATTTGAAAAAAAACTAAAAAAAAAGTCAGAAAAAAAAATTATGACCAGGCATGGTGGCTCACACTTGTAACCCCAGAACTTTGGGAGGCCGAGGCAGGCAGGCAGATCACTTGAGATCAGGAATTGGATACCAGCCTGGCCAACCATGGTAAAATGCCCCCTCTACTAAAAATACAAAAATTAGCTGGGTGTCGTGGCATGCACTTAGCTCCTCGGGAGGCTAAGGCATGAGAGTTACTTGAACCTGGGAGGCAGAGGTTGCAGTGAGCTGAGATCACGCCACTGCACTCCAGCCTGAGCAAGAGTAAGACTCCCTCTCATAAAAAAAAATAAAATAAAATAAAAAAATAAAATAAAAAACCTAAGGCCAAGTACGGTGGCTCATGCCTGTAATCCCAGCACTTTGGGAGGCCAAGGTGGGTAGATCACAAGGTCAGGAGATCAAGACCATTCTGGCTAACACAGTGAAACCCCGTCTCTACTAAAAATTAAAAAAAATTAGCCAGGCGTGGTGGTGGGCACCTGTAATCCTAGCTACTCAGGAGGCTAAGGCAGGAGAATGGCATGAACCCAGGGGCGGAGCTTGCAGTGAGTGGAGATCATGCCACTGCATTCCAGCCTGGGTGACAGAGCAAGACTCTGTCTCAAAGAAAACCAAAAAAATTACAGAGACTTCCATGGGCAAAGTCATGAGAAAAGAAGACAATTGAAGAGGAATTCAAGGCTCTAGAAAAGTAAAATTGGTTGTAGTGATCCAGTCAGAAATCATGCCTGTATGACTACTTAAAAACATCTTTCATTAAAAACATTTTAGAAATTATCAATAGAAAAAGTTATAAAAATGAGTTTAAAATCACTCATAATTTCATTAACCAGAAATAATTTTTTCTGCAATAAATATAATTAAATTAGAAAATAGTATAAACAGTACATCCTACTTTTCTTTCACTTAATGTAAGAGTATCTGCCATCAATGTAGCTTTCTTTCAAAAATGTGACTTTTCAAAAAAATAACAGATCCTGGCGAGGTTGTGGAGAAAAGGGAAACTTATACACTGTTGTTGGTAAATTAAATTAGTTCAACCATTGTAGAAAGCAGTATGGCGATTCCGCAAAGAGCTAAAAGTGAAACTACCATTCAACCCAGAAACCCCATTACTGGGAATACACCCAGAGGAATATAAAGCATTCCACCATAAAGACACATGCATGCCAATGTTCACCGCAGCACTGTTCACAATAGCAAACATGGAATCAACCTAAATGCCCATCAATAACAGACTGGATAAAGAAAATGCATTACATATCCACCATGGAATATTATGCAGCCATAAAGAAGAATAAGATCAAGGATGGAGCCGGAGGCTATTATCCTTAGCAAACCAACACAGAAACAGAAAAGCAAATACTGCATGTTCCCACTTATAAGTGGGAGCTAAATGATAAGAACTTGTGAACATAGAGAAGGAAACAACAGACACTGGAGTCTACTTGATGGGGAGGGGATGAGGAGGAAGAGGAGCAGAAAAGATAACTATTGGGTACTGGGCTTAATACCTGGGTGACATAATAATATGTACAACAAATCCCCATGACACATGTTTACCTATGTAACAAACCTTCACATGTGCCCCCAAACCTAAAATAAAAATTAAAAAAAAAGAAAATGTGTCTTTTCATAGCTGTGAATGGTGTCCATTGAATGGATGTTAGACAATGATTTTAGCACTTCCTTATTGCTGGAAAGAGGTTATTAATAATTTATTGACATGATAAATAACACCATGATGAACATCTTCAAGACCTTTGCTATTCCTTCACAACAGGGTGGGCTCCTCCTTGGCTCCTATGTGAATATGGATTGCCGACGTTCTTACCTGGACTGCTGTGAAAATATTCCTGGCTAGCTAAGGCACTTGTCTACGGAAAATACTACAGAGCTTACTTTTCAGTTATCCTTGATAATAGAGGGAAAAGGAGATGAAAACAGGCGCTATTTCATCTACTTTTGGCTTGGCCTAAAAATGCATGGGAACAGTTCCAGAGAATTTCCAGACACCGTGGGTGGCTTTGAGGGGCTATTTTTACAATAACTAATTTTGTTCATTTTCCTTTGTGCCAATCAGAAATTCGGCCAATGGATCTTCCCCCACCCTCCTCATTCTAGTCTCTATAAAACATATTACTTTTTCTTTATACATACCACACACAGGGGAAGGGAGAAATACACAAGAGATAGAAATGCAACTAACTTTGTCCAGGCCCTGCAAGTTGTTCATGAAATTACAAAGGCAAGGGAAAGAATCAAAACACTGTTGGAAGAGAAGCCAGAACTCTGAGCTGAAGCATTGGCTTGTGTGTTACAGCAGAAGCCTGCATGTGGTCGATGGTTAGAGAAGACAGTAGCCATGGGGTCAAGAGGACAGATGGGCATGGGCAATCCAGGAAGCCAAGCCTGC